ATATCATCGGCTTTGCTACTCTTATAGCAACGAATGCAGCAAGGTAATTATAATATAATATAATTATAATAATAATAATATAATTATAATAATATAATAATAATAATATAAAATAGTAATAGTAATAATGCTATTAGTATTATTAGTCTTACTCTTTTTATTGTTATTTTCATTAGCTTCGCTACGCTTATAGCAACGCATGCAGCAAGGTGATTGTACTGCTGCTGCTGCTGCTCGTGCTGTCGATGATGGTGCTGCTGCTGCTGCTACTGCTTGTGCTGCTGGTGCTGCTGCTGCAGACATCGCCTTGCTGCAGGATGGAAGAAGAAGCTGTTTGAGTTTGGGGCCAGGAGAGCGCAGGGTAAGTGCTGCTGCTGCTGCTGCTGTTGCTGCTGTTGCTGCTGCTGTTGCTGCTGCTGTTGTTGCTGCTGCTGTTCTGCTGCTGCTGGTCTGCTGTTGCTGCTGTTCTGCTGTTGTTGCTGCTGCTGTTGCTGCTGCCGTTCTGCTGCTGAAGCAAAGAGAGGGAAATGAGCATGGATTAGGGTTTTAGGGTTTAGGGTTTAGGGTTTAGGGTTTAGGGTTTGGATGGTGCAGGGCCTGACGGTGCGCTAACTGCGAGTCGTTATGCATATCTTGGCAGCTTCGACGGCACCAGTAATGTACAGGTGAAGGTTTGGGGTTTAGGGTTTAGGGTTTAGGGTTTAGGGTTTGTATTCCAGGGTCTCGGTCTTAGGATAATAATTGCTTAGGGTTTATTGTAGAAGGGTTATGTGTTATATTGCTCGGGGTTTGCTTTGTAGCAAAGGGTTTAGGGCTTAGTACGGTTCAGGGTTTGCACAGTCAAGGGTTTAGGGTTTAGGGTTTAGGGTTTAAGGTTTGTACAGTCAAGGGTTTAGGGTTTAGTACAGTTTAATTCTTGCAGAGTCAAGGGTTTAGGGTTTAGGGTTTAGGATTTGTACAGTCAAGGGTTTAGGGTTTCGTACGGTTTAAGGCTTGCACAATCAAGGGTTTAGGGTTTAGGGTTTAGGGTTTAGGGTTTAGGGTTTGTTCAGGCAGCATATCGCTTTGGCATTCCTTTGGCTGGGACGATGTCGCATGCATTTGTTTCATCGTTTTCTTCGTTTATGGATTTGCGTCTGAGTCCATCGCCTTTGGGCCCTGACTTCCCTCAAGCTGTAAACCCTAAACCCTAAACCCTAAACCCTAAACCCTAAGCACTAAACACTAAACCCTCAGCTTCTCCCAGTCGGCTGCGAGTATTACTGCTGGCTGAGCTAAACCCTAAAGAATTGTTTTCTACGCATTGCTGCTGCTCATATCAATCATCATGTTGCTGCTGCTGTTGCTGCTGCTGCTGTTGCTGCTGCTGCTGCTGGTGCTGCTTCTTTCTGCTGCTACTGCTGCTTCTTTCTGGTGCTTCTGCTGCTGCTTTCAATTGCTTCTTCTGCTTGCTGCTGCTACTACTGCTACCACTACTGCTACAACTACTCCTATTGCTTCCTTTGCTGCTGCTGCCTTTGCTGCTGCCTTTGCTGCTGCTGCTGCTGCTGCTGCTGCTGCAGGTGATGAGTGCTCGCGATTTGTTGTTTGGAGTTTGGCCCGAGGCGAATTTTCACCAAATGGCGAAAGAAGGAGAGCTCGCAGCTTTTGCTGCATACGCAATGGTTTGTTTATTTTGTTATTTATTTGTTTAGTTATTTGTTTATTTATTTGTTTATTTGTTTATTTGTTTATTTATTTATTTATTTATTTGTTTATTTATTTACTTATTTATTTTGTTTGTTTGTTTGTTTTTTTGTTTGTTTATTTATCTATTTATTTAGTTGGTTTGTTTGTTTGTTTAGTTATTTGTTTATCTGTTTATTTGTTTATTTGTTTATTTATTTATTTAGTTATTTATTTATTTGGTGTGTTTGTTTGTTTGTTTGTTTGTTGTATTAATTAATTAATTAATTAATTAATTAATTAATTAATTAATCTATTTATTTATTTTGTTTTGTTTATTTAGTTATTTAGTTAGTTATTTGTTAGTTTTGTTTGTTTGTTGCTGCATATGCAATGGCTTATTTATTTATTTATTTATTTATACTTGTTTTATATATTTATTTTTTGTTTGTTTTGTTTGTTTTTTCTGTCTCTGTCTCCTCTGTGGTTGTCATCATATCTTTTTATTCTTTAGGGTTTAGGGTTTAAGGTTTAGGGTTTAAGGTTTAGGGTTTAGGGTTTAGGGTTTAGGGTTTTGTTTTCGCACCGCAGACATTCCCCGACAACTTCTTGGCTCTTGTTGATACCTACAACACCCTTAGCTCTGGTAATCCTAAACCCTAAACCCTAAACCCTAGATTTGAAGTTAAGGGTTTGTGCAGACCTCTCTCTAAACCCTAAAAACTCATTGAAGATGTTTGCTTCTTTGCTTTCAAGCAACGCGAGAGCCATCGGACGCCCCTCTGTAACAGCGTCTAGGGTTTAGGGTTTAGGGTTTAGGGTTTAGGGTTTAGGGTTTATGTGGGTGCAGGCATTCCGAATTTTTTGGCGGTTGCGTTGGCGATGTTTAAATTGGGAGCAAAACCAAAAGGCGTTCGAATAGACTCGGGGGATTTGGCGTACCTCTCCAGGTAAACCCTAAACCCTAAACCCTAGCTAAACCCTAAACCCTAAACCCTAACCCTCAAGAGGTATGCCGTACACCTAAAGGCGTAGGGGATGCTTTACAAAAATTTTCCTCTTTAAAATCTGAAAGCCTAATATCAGGGTTTAGGGTTTAGGGTTTAGGGTTGAGGGGTGTTTAGGGTTTACGGTTTAGGGATGTTTAGGGTTTAGGGTTTAGGGTTTAGGGTTTGGGGTTTGCAGGGAGGCTCGGCGTATGTTTAAGCAATGTGAAGAGGCTTTCGGTTTTCCTTTTGGTGGTTTGTCTATAGTCCTTTCAAACGATTTGAACGAAGCCACAATAACTGCCCTTAACGATGAAGTATGCAAACCCTAAACCCTAAACCCTAAACCCTAAACCCTTACAACCCTAAACCCTGACGTCCGCTGTGTAGCAGGCCACTGCACTGACACGGCTTCTCAGGAACTTCGGAGGCCTATGCCCCATTAATTCATAGGTCAGGGTTTAGGGTTTAGGGTTTAGGGTTTAGGGTTTTGAGGTTTGCTGCAGGGCCACGAGGCAGATGTATTTGGAATCGGCACGAATGTCGTCACCTGCCAGGCTCAGCCGGCTTTAGGAGTGGCAAGCAAAACCCTAAACCCTAAACCCTAAACCCTAGTTTGTAGACTGGAGATTGTATCTGCTGTTTTGCTTTAAACCCTTCATATGCGTGCCGCCTTTGGCTTCTGCGTCTTATGCGTCTATATACCATTTTTGAGGGTTTAGGGTTTAGGGTTTAGGGTTTAGGGTTTAGGGTTTGGGGTTTGTATCAGGTGTATAAGCTGGTGGAGTTAGAAGGCAAACCCTGCATGAAGCTCTCAGAAGATGTTGAAAAAACTTCTCTTCCCACAGCAAAAGCAGCTTATCGTTTGTATAACAAAGAAGGGGTACCTGCTGTAGACCTTATTCAGGTACGAGGGTTTAGGGTTTAGGGTTTAGGGTTAGCTTTAGTTCTGTGGGCGTAGGTATGCGTTAAGGGTTTAGGGTTTAGGGTTTAGGGTTTATGGTGAGCATTGTTTTTGTGGATGGTGGTTTATTGATGGAAGTGCGTTTAGGGTTTAGGGTTTAGGGTTTAGGGTTTAGGGTTTATGTTTACCGACCTTTTCACCGCAAAGCAAGACCTTAAACCCTAGTAACTAAAGCCTCCCCCCCGTAAACCCCAAACCTCAAACCCTAAACCCTAAACCCTAAACCCTAGGGTATGTATGTGTGCGTTTAGAGCGCTTCAATGCCCCGACCTGTGTGTGGAGAGAAGTTATTTTGTAAGGACCTCTACGCAGACAAGAGACGGTGTTTCTTTATCCCAAAGACAGTTGAAGAGCTTTTAATAGTCTTCATTCAAGAAGGAAGGCTCATCAACCCTCTAGAAACCATTGAAGTACTAAACCCTAAACCCTAAACCCTAAACCCTAAATATCCCAACAAACGCCACACGCTCAAACCACCAACCCATCGAGAAAAATTAAACACTAAACCCTAAACCCTAATATCTCAAATGCACAGCAAACCACAAACCATTACACCCACACACTCACAGACACATTCGCCGCAGCTTCTAGGGTTTAGGGTTAGGGTTTAGGCTGCATATTAAGGTGTGAGGGGAGACAGAAACATCTAAGGAGAGAGAGAGAGAGAATCTGAAGCAAACAAACGCAGCAACATTTAAAACCCTCTACTGCATGCATGCATTAAAAGGCTTGCATACATGCATGCATAAAAAACAGGACTTCATGCATTCATGCATAGATCCCACTGGAGTGTATGGGGAGGTGTACTGCATGCATGCATGCATGCATGCATGAATACACTCCAATCGCATGCATGCGATTGGAGTGTATGCGGAGGTATACTGCATGCATGCATGCATGCATGCATGCATGGAATTGGAGTGTATATGGAGGTGCTTTTTTTGTGTTTTGTTTGTTTAGGTTTCTCGGGCGCGGTGCGTGCGGCAGCTGCAGCTTTTTCGAGGCGACCATCTGCGTTTGCATGCTCCTACAGAGTATAAAGTGAGTATTATATATATAATATACTATAATATAATTAATAATATAATTAATTTATTTTTATATTCGTTTGTTATCTCTCTTGTTGCTTATCTCTTTATTATTGGTAGTCTTGTGTCTCTGGTGTGCGTTGCTGCTGTCTCCTTTCTGCTTATTTCTTCTGTCTCTTCTCTCTCTCTATATATATGTATATATATATGCATGTATATATATATATATATCTATATGTATATATATATATATATAGATATATATCTGTTTGTCTGTCTGACTGTCTCTGTCTCTCTGTTTGTTAATTGTATTTATTTTTTTGATTTTGTTTGTCTCCACTTCAGGTGTCTACGACAGAAGAGTATTATAAATTCTTTCATGAGATGTGGAATACGACTGCCCCTATTCATACCCTTGAATAAACCCTAAACCCTAAACCCTAAACCCTAGATGCAGTTAACCCAGTCAACCTAACAAACCCTAAACCCTTCCCTCCGGGGGGGGCACGGCTAGAGGAGACACACGCTCAACTGTACAGACAACAACAAACAACGAGCTAGCTAGCTAGCTTGCTAGCTAGCTAGATAGATAGATAATAGCTAGCCGTCTAGCTAGCTAGCTGAGTAACTGCTTGGCTGCCGGGATAGCTAGCTAGCTATCCGGCTAGACAATAGCTAGCTAGCTAATCTGCTAGCTACCTGGCTAGATAATAGCTAGCCGTCTAGCTAGCTAGCTAGCTAGCTAGCTAGCTAGCTGTACGGGGAGCGTTGTGGGTTGATAAGATACATTTACTTGTCCAGGTGTATAAATGCCTGTAGCTGTTTATTTTGTTTATTTATCTCTCTGCTTTTTTATCTACATCTAATATACATATATTAATATATACATATATACAAATGCTCATACATACATATATTCAATTACGTATGTATATGCATATCTACACATATATATAATATATATATATATATATCGCTATTGTAAATAAGATATATATATATATATGCATATA